TCATTGAGAACCAGAAGAGACCTAGGATACCAAAAGAAATTTTTAGCAAGAAAGGCAAGACAGGGTACATCACAATCTCTAACTACAAATTATACTACAAAGTTACTCTGATAGAAAACATCATAATGATAGGGGGAAAAGCTATGAGGATCAGTGGAACCGTTTAGAAAATGCAGAAGCACCTCTGAACACACTCAGCTACCTTTTCTTTAACAAAGAGGTTAAACACTTTACTGGAAGAAAGATAACATCTTTAATGAACGGTGTTGGGAAAACTGGCTGTTCACATGTCACAGATTAAAACTGGAAATACTACAAAGCAACTGTAGTAAAATCAAACTGGTACTGGAATCAAAACAGAGCTGGAGGTCAATGAAATAGATTAGAAGATACAACCACAACTACAAACACACTCAACCACCTTATCTTTGATAAAGGGGCCAAGCAGGCTCACTGGAAGAACGACAGTGCTGATTTATCATCTTGTTTTGAAGTCGTATCAAACTGTTGTTCTTCTGTCTTCATTGGTTTTATCATGTTGTATCTTACTGGATTTTATTATATGTGATAGTATAAACAAAAATTTTTATAGGCAAAGAGATAACATAGAGACCATTGTTCAACTTCTGTTAGCTGGTTCTAAATACCTTGTAATACTTTCATCCTCTTGAATGGTTTCACACTATCTTGATATGTTTGATGCTATAGTACACAAAGTTATACTCAAATATTTCAAGTAAAGAGGCACTATGGTAACTACTATTAAGTCGGGTTATCTTGTGGTAGAACACTATGTTGCTTAAATAGATCTGTTCTGACCTGTACTGTTAGGCTGTTATGTCCTCTTTTATCTCAATCTCCCCCCCCCCCACTTTTTAATTTTTTTATTATTTTTTTAATCAAGGGAAAATTTTTTTAGAAAATTAGCAGGATATATTATAGTAACTTTTTTTGATTTCCTATTAATTCGATTTGAAGCCCTGTATTGCCCTCACCATCTTGTTTTGACTGATTTTACTCTATTCGGTTCTGTTTGATATTATCAATTTTGAGGGTATTGGCAACTACTTTGAAGGCAATAAGATTCACTATGATGCCCATTCTGGTTTGACTATTATTTTCTTTTGAAGTTCAGTAATGTCTCCAATGTTTAGGTTTTATTGGTTTTGTTCTGTACTGTTATGTACAATTTTATTATACCTGATGATATAGGCAATTCTTTTTAAGGTAGCAAGAGGCATTATGGCAACCATTGTTGATTTCTTGTATTCTGTTTTTACATCATGTACTATGTCCGTCCTTTGTTTTGACTGACTGCTTTGTTTTGTCACATTTGGTTTTATTCTCTTGCAAAAAAAAAAAAAAAGTATTAAGAACTGTGGGAGTAATAAAACCCAAAATGTGTGAATGTTACTGTAAAAAAAGGAAAATAAAGTGCTTTAAAGGACACAACTGCAAGTGTGTTTAGGTGTGTAAGATAGATGACCATGTTACTATATTACTAAGTTTTTGTTGGATCATTGAACACAACTGTTTGCAGTCTCACTGCTTGAATGTCCACCTTGTAAGCTTAGTTTTGTATCTTGATCAACTATTTCTAAGATGACAATATGTAATCTATTAACTAGTCATTTCTTACTGTTTATTTTTTGAAATTCTGTATTACTTGTACCGTTTTACTGTTTTGTTTATCCTTTACCAGACACTAAACTAAAATTGAAATGGATCAAAGATCTAAATATCAAATCAGAAACACTAAGTCTGCTGGCAGATAAAATAGGTAGAATTCTTGAAGACATTGGTGAAGGCAAACATTTTATGAACAAAGTAACTCTCTTACAAGAAATATCACAAAGATAACTGGGAACTCATTAAAATGCTTTTGCACAACAAATGAAATCCCCAATGGAATGGAGAGAAAATCAACAGAGTGGAAAATAATTTCACCAGTTGTTCCTCAAAGGAGTAATATCCAAAATGTATAAAGAACTGAAAAAAATCAGACTCCCAAAATTAATTAATTAATTAATTAATTTCTTTATTTTAAAGAGGATAAAATCCAAAGAAAACAGAACAGAACCACTCAACATAAACTACAGTAAGTGATATAGGACTTCAAAACTTTATGAAATTAGCAATATTTATCATAATACCTTTTGTTGTTTTCTGAATAGCTGGAGATATCTTTGGATGTAGTAAATTTCAAAAAGAATAGAATAGAGCAGAAACAATGAATGCAATAAAAGACTTCAAAACAAGCTAATAATAAATCAAAAATGGCTATCATAGAATGTCTTGCTATCTTTTAAATAACTGCTCATGCCATCAGATTTAGCATAATTAAACAAACCAAAAGAGAATAAAACTCAACCCAAGAAAACAATGAAAATGACATGGTTTCCAGACAAGGACTACCTCCTGGTGAGGCCTGGTTTTCTCCCTCTACAGTCTGAGAGTGGTGCTGACTCACAGAGAGAGGCTTGGGTCTGGCTGTCCCCACTCTGGCAGCAGCCTGTGCATGTCACTGGTTTCCAAGTAAGGATCACCTCCTTGTGAGGCCTGAGGCTCCCCAAATTGAAAGACCCAATCCAAAAATGGGCATCTGAGATGAATACACATACAAATGACACATAAATATGTGGAAAAATATTCAGCATCACTAGTCATTAGAGAGATGCAAATTTAGAAAGTGCTGAGGTTCTATCTCATTCAAGAAAGAATAGTTACTCTCAAGAAACCAAACAACATCAAATGCTGGTGGGAAAGTGGGGGAAAAGGAAATCTTTTCCACTTTTGGTAGCTGTGTAGATTTCTGCAATCACTGTAGAAATCAATGTGGAGACTTCTCAAAAAATGAGGACTTCTCAAAAAATGAGGATTTCTTTTGACCTGGTTATTCTCCTTCATGGTATCTTCCTGATATAATTAAAAGGTTCATACCACAGTGATATATGCTTACTTATGTTATAGCAGCACAGTTTATAATAGCTAAATATTGGTAAGAGCCCAAATGCCCATCAACTGATGAATATAAAAAGATGTGTTTTTTACATGATATAGTACTTCTCAGCTGTAAAGAAGGCTAAAATTGAGACATATCTAGGTAAATGTATTCATCCTAAGACCATACTCTTAAGTGAAATAAATCAAACACATGTGTAAGTATAGCATTGTTTCTCTGGTGTGAAAACTGAATATTTAAATAAGTACCAACAGATGCTTATTTTGACTTAGGAAGAAAATGTTCAAATGCAAAGGGGTACTAAGGAGAGGGGAGAGGAAAAGGAAGGAAAGGAAAAGTAAAACCTGAGAAAAGAAGAATAAAACAAAAACAATAGCTCTGTTTTAGGAGGGGAAGAGGATTTGAAGAGAGGGGAGTGGAATAGGAGATAACAAAGAATTAAGAAAAATCATGTACAGCTTTAAATTCCTTATGTGAATACGATTTTATATATATATATATATATATATATCACCAAAATTTTTAAAAATGAACATGGGAAGTGAGTTTTTAATGAGCATAGATTTTTCTTTTCAGAGTAAAAAAAAATATTATGGAATTAGATATCAGTGGTAATTGCTCTTGTTATTTAGATCTAAAATATATCCCAAAAATGTGTTCAAGGTATGGATTCTGGAAGGTGGCTGGGTGTTAGTTATAGTATATTAATTGAAGAATTAATTTATGGGTGATTTCACTGCTGGCAATGCACATAGGAGACTGTGCCTGGTTAGATACATTGCTGTCCTTGGTTCCTTTCTTCTCTTTTGGTTTCCTGGCTCCGATGAGATTAGAAACTTTCCGTTGCCTTGCTTTTACACCATATCACTCCACTGTGCTGTTTTTGTCTGAGATTCTGTTCATTATGAATGGGCTGAAACCTCCAACACTGTGAGCCAAAGGAAACCTCAGTTCCTTTAAGACGCGGATGCTGGACATGTTATCCCAGTGATAGGAAAGTGGCTGGTGTGATGGTACAACACTGAGATATACTGAAAATTACTGAAGTCTACACATACATTGATAAACAAGAGTTTTATGCTATATGAATTTTATCTCAAATGAAGGAATATTGTCTCACACAGACATAAACCTACAAAATTCACAATATGTTGGAAGGAAAGTTTAAAAAACTATAAGACGTTTTAAGCTTATTTAAAATTAGATTTTTGAAGCTGAGAAATCCTTTATGATAGTTCAGATATCATTGAAGCCTTGATAAAATTCAGAAAATACTATATTCATGGCTATGACACAAGTACTCACATTCTCAACCAGAAAGAAAAACTAAAAATCTATGTATTTTGCACATTTAAATTTTAATGTTGCTCGTTCAGTGTGAGTTAAACCTGACTAATAGATGCATGAAATATTCTCTTTGTGGGCTATCATTTCTGTCTTGAGGATATCACAGATCTGAGTCTGCTTGATGAAGAATTATATTCCTATAAGAATATTATTTTAGCAGACCATGCACATGTTTATTCCAATATATGTGTATGTATTATTTTTATTCTAATAATCTTTATGTTAGCTTGTCCAATTTTTAAATAGTAATAAAGTATCACTTATGCCCATGTGATATGATGAAAGGCCTCAACACTTGTAGTTAATGCCGTTATAGATGAATAATATAAACTATAAGGTATGATAATGATTACATTCTTTTTATTTTTGACAAATTTGTTCATTTAAATGTTATAGCTTCAAAATAAATGAAGAAAACATGCTGCTTATTCATGTATAGGCTCACTTTTCTGTAATAGACTCTACACCTATATTTTAGCAACAAGCTTGAGCATAAAATAGTTTTCATATTTCTTTTGTTTCTTTACTCCTGTATTTTCCAATTAAATAATGTTAATAGGCATCTTATTGATTTTTAAGTCTAGTTTCTCTTGGTGATTATTTACATTCTGCATATTTATTTCTGATTTAATACATATATACAAATTAAGCACGAATAAATAATTTGTGTTTTCTTTTTTTTTTTTCATAGATTCTACAAAGAAATTAAAGGATGTTCTTGAAGAATTCCATGGTAATGGCGTGCTTGCAAAGTATAATCCTGAAGGGGTAAAATTTCTTTCTTCTTTATATCAATGTAAACTGTATGCTGGAAGGGGTAATTTTTTCATGAGATCTGCAAAATATGTATATGTATATTTATATATACATATACATATATACACATATACATATATGTATATGTACATATGTATATACATCTACATGTATATCTCTCACATACCATAAGCCATTTGCCATCTACACAAAGAAAATAAATTTTATAACAAATATCAATTCTGAAAGGTTTACTTAATATAGTGCATTTTTCATCCAAAATAGCTAAAGGAGTAACACTTCTATAGTGTCATTGTAATACAGTTGAGATTCTTATTCTAGAAGTCAGAAAACAAGTTATGTAAAATAGATTGAGAATATCTATGCTCTATGACTTATAAATTTAACCCAAAAGGGTCGTTAGTGTGGGAGATGAGAGTTAATCCTTTTGTGCAATTATTTCCTTTCACGAAGCAAGCTTTTGTGATAGTTATAATTGTTCTATCATTTTCAGAAACTAGTCTATGTCAAAGAAGAGTAATTTCAACCCCCAACTTTTTTTTAACCTTTTACTAGCAAGCACTTGAATTTTTAAATTTATGTAATGACTCCTTATGTGTTTCAACTTCTTTAGGCTGTCATATCCAAATATGTGCCTTTCTTTTGTTAGATCTTTTTAAAAATAATCTTCTATTTAATATTAGCTATTAGAATGATATTACACATTAGAGAGATAATATATTTTTAATGTCTGATCATTATGGCTATTTGGTGTCATGTTCAGGGGATGTTTCAATTTTAAGGAAATAAAAATAAACCAATCTCTACAAAAGACAAATTTTTCTAAATGTATCATGTAGATAGTTTTTTGTACAGACAAAGTAGTGATGTCTTTTGGTTATTATTTTGGATTTTTTATTTTTTTACAAATTTATAAGATTGCAGTTCTTAGTTATCTGTATATTTGGGGGAATATACAGAACTTAACTGTAGCTATTTCAGTCAGTCTAATCTATAAATTCAAATCTCATTTCATTCATATAGTTTTAAAATTTCCTTCTATTTCTCATAGGTTAGTGTTTTACATATCATTTATTAATTCTATCCATTTTTGTTACTACACATGCAAGAATTCTTTAATATTTACTTTTTAAAAAAATTTCTATCCACATTGTAATGATGATGAAAATCAAGGCAATTTAAAAGTCATTCCTATCTTCTTAAACAGGGAAGAAAACCAGAAGTCTGGCCTTCTTTTCCCTAATGTTTCATTTCTTGAGATGCTATATAGTGGTGGAATTAATGTTGGTAGATGGTCTTTTAGCAGTGAAAATCTCAGAACCCAAGCAAGCAGAGCACAAGTGGAGAAGACCACTGAATATAAAAACATTATTAACAATACCCAAAATATGCATTCTAATCTCACCTATTCTTAGGAATGAAACTTATTTTTCCCCCTCTGAAGATAGCTAATTCTCATGAATTTATTTGGAACATAATGTTCTTCTCATTGTAGAATTCATCCCATAATAGCTTCTTATTTTAAGATCTTTAAGACCTATTTTATGGGTATTATGAATATATAGTGAATTTATTTCAGTAATCACTAGGCTTAGTATTAAATGCACATATGAATGTTACATGCTTCAATAATGTGGTACCGTTGCATAAATGTACAGGGATGCTTGAATGTGTCATTCAGATAACAAAAGTTGAAAACAAAAGTCTAGACCTCATTAGGACACATAATCAGTAATTCTAAATTAAGGATGAAACCGTACTCTGCCTGAATATTGATAGGAATTTTTGCTTCACGAGAAAATTGTTAAGTTTATATGACTCAAATGCAAGTGCATAAGTAGATAATTCGTACAAGGCAAGAGACAGTAGTTAAGACTACGTAGTGTGGAAAATGAAACTATTTAAGGTTTGAGGTTCTTTTTAATGTGTGACCTCAGTCATTTTATTAGAATTACTCTAACAGGATGAAAGAATCTCCATCCATTCATGTGACATTTTCATTCCTTTCCTGCTGATTAAGATCCCATGAAGTTGTTTAATTTGGATAGCTACTACTGATGCTTAGTTGTACCCAAAATTTGAAAAACTGAATTATCCTGCTAGACATGAGATTATATAACAGCTTTTATTTTTATAATACCATTATGATTTTTATCACTCATACAAAATATTAAAAAGAGAAAATAAAATGAATATATTCATATCTCTCCCCTACAAAGTAAAGTTACTTGAATGGTAGATGAATTATTTTGCTTAGAGTCCCCTTTAATTAGTGAATTTTAAAGTTGTTTCTAAAAAGTTAATTCAAACAGGTGGCCTGTTTAAGTCTATTCTAATAGAAAATGATACACATGGATGCATCATTTCCTTTAATTCCTATCTTTTAAACATACTTAGTAATGGTTAATTTCAAGATATGGATAAGAAAAATTATAAAAATTGGCTTTACAGATTTTCTATGAATTAAAAAGCTTAAAAGGTATTAGATTCGTAAATTAAAATCACAAAATTTTTAAAGAAATAAACTTGCTTACAGAAAACTAAAATGATGACTCCAGGACTAACCTTCTAGGTGCAGGATAATTACCACAAACCTAAGCTAATTGTCCACAATGCCAGTGCCTTTTACTCCCCACTTCAGACCATAGAATGAGCAGGAAGGTCCTGGGAGAACAGGAGGACAGATGTGCAGGGGATGATGTTGGCTGACCTTGCTCATTAATGCATGTAACTTATTGTAGTATGTTTAATTGTTATGCATGACAAGGTGAAAGATTCCTATTAGTCTTCACCTAATCTTATATAAGATGGTAGTAAGGGCCTCACCATAGCTAGTTTGTAGCAGAGTCTAGTGCTATTCAGAAATTTTCAGTAAACACAAGGCATATAAATAACCTCATGTGAATAATGGAATTTGGTATATGAGAAAGAATCAGTTTGGCATTGCATGTAATTTTTTGTCTTGAATTTTAGACTCAATTCTGTATTATTCCATTGATTTCTAAAAATGGAATGAAAATGACAAATGTATGGAAAAACAAATAATCAGTAAAGGCATGGAGGAAAGCTTGCTTGTTATACTAATAGAGAAAACACTGCACGTGAAGAATAAATGTTCATAATCTAATGTACCTTTATAAACACTAATATTCTTTTATCTTTTCTCTCTTGATGGCTTTATTATTTTGATTGTGTTATTCATTTTACTTGTCTCATGTGAGTTGAAACTGTTTGCTTATGTGAAGATTGTTCTTGCCAGTAATTTTCAAATTTCAGTGTACATCACACCCCTTTGGTGGCTTATTGAAACACGATGGCTGTGTCCCTGTGTCCACAGTTTCTGACTTGGTATTTCCTTGAGCATGGGCTTAAAAATTTATATTTCTATCAATTTCCTAATTTGCTGCTCGAGTTTGAAAATTATATTTTGAGATCCTTATACCTAGGATATATTTGAAAATCAATCTGTAAACTTAAACTTTTAGTGAAATTATCAGAAATAAGAGTATAAATTACCTTACTTTAACACATGTATTCTTTCTTTCCTTGCATGCACAGAAACAAGACATTCTTAACCAAGTAAGACATTTTCTTTTCTATTAAGCTGTCTTTTCTTCCTTAATCTGATATAAGCCATGATTTCCTCATTCATATCACTAATCTTTACTTCTTTACAATAAGGTCACATAGTAGGGTAGATAACACAATTTTTATACTCATAGGGTTATAATGGAGGTAAGGTTCTAGTATAATTTTTTTAAATCAATGTCTCAAATGAAGAAATTTTTAATTTGATAGAATCAAAAAGGGTCCACAGTGTGGCTCTTGGTTTTGTAGACACTGAAATTTAATTTTCTAATTTAGACCAGACATATGAGACTCCAACAAATTAATTTATTTAATAAAAGTCATAATTTATTAATTTATGTTGGAAGATTTAAAATTGCATTTAAATGCAATGGTAGGATTTCCATTTCACTTTTTCTACTGTTTATATTAGATTCTGTGGGACCAACATAATTGAAAAGCTATTGATTTTGCTCTCACAGAAAGAAGAGCAATCAATGTGTTATTTTAGCCACTTTTTCCCAGTGAAGCCCATTTTGTAAACAAGTTTTAGGTGAGTAGTACAGTGAGGTTTATAGAATTAGAACATGTTCATGAGTACTGTAAGTAGAAATTTTGCTCATAGCACAATAGCTGTATTTATTTCCTTTACTGATTTTTGAATAGTTCTTACTAAAACTGAGGAGTTGTATATTGTTTCTGCTGCACAATATTATATGGGTACAAGCTGCATCTTGTTCTCAAGTACCCTAGTGTTTTCAAGAACAAGAAGTATGTGATTTCATGTCCATCGTGAAAGTGAAGTTGATGAGATCAAATGATCTTGCTGGACTTAAATGCAGGACTTACATACCATACAAATTTCCAGAATGGTACACAGCAAAGCCACAGCTCTCTAACTGTGATGACATGAACCAGCTTGCATTTCAGAAATGATCCATTTATTCCTGGCTTCTTTGTTGACATTTGTGAAAACTCATTAGGTTTCCCAAACACCGAGATGTGGGCTTTGTGATGTCAAGGAGGCAACTTACCAGAGTAAAAGTAAGAGCTTCTTTTTCTGTGTCTAGAGTCTCACTCCTTAGCAATTTAACAGCATTTCTTGAGCTTAGTCAGCAAATGCACATTTCTTCTGCCATCCTATGAACTTACTAAAGGCTGGTGACAAACTTGTACCATAACTGGCCCTGCCTTTCTTGGGATCAGCACAGGGAGTTTGACTCCTCTATTGCCTGCCTAATCTCTGTCCCAGTGCCCTTTTTCAAATACAAATAGTAAAGCGGAGGGCAGCCAACAAGAAAGCAGACTGAGGCATGTGGTACTGCCATGTGTGTTCTGTCTTTATCGCTACCCTCTGAGTGTGTATTTGTTGTTTCCTGTCAGTAGATGCTCCCTGCTAAGGCTGTGTTGTGCTTCCATGCTCCAGGGTATTTTTTATATTTGCATTTAGTGCCCTGTGCTACACTTTCTGTTAACATCTTTCATTCAGATAAGTGAGATATTTTGACTCTTGAAAAAAAAATCTAAAAATTCAGGACCTGTGTGTGTGGTGCCACTCTTAGAGTAGTATTTCCTTTGAGTTTTGTGTTGTTATTGTTTTATGGTGCTGGGCCTCACATGTGCTATGTGAGCGGCCTGCCACTGAGCTACATACCAGCCTGAGTGTAACATCTTAGATGTCTTTAATAAGGATATTAATATTGATATAGTATTAGCAGTGATATAAATACCTTCCTGTTATAACTTTCCATCCAGAATCAAACTTAGCATTTCCTACTAAATAAAACATAGGAAATGCATGGCATAGAACATATGTGGTCTTAGGGTTCAATCTCATTGTCTTCTACCTTAGCAGGCCTTGAACAAGTTTCCTGCCTCAATCTGCTCACTTGTGAAATCCAGGTAGTAAGTGCTGTACTCGGTTGGGAAAGGTATAAATTCTAATTTCTTCTTGCTCATGTTGATTTTCAGTAGTGTTTAGACAGTGACTGTGGTCACACTTTGATGACACATTTGTACCCAAATCATGTGTCCAAGGATGAAATCAAGGGTGTGTGAGATGCATCACTAATTGATCCTGTACCATTCATGTTCAGAGTTTCACTTTCTTACTTTAAAATGAGGACATACCACTCCATCACCTTTCCCAATTCTACATCGACGACCTTATAAGGGATGGTGGGAGAAGGAGACATGAAGTAGCGTTTGCTCTCTCTGCCGAGCCTGGCCTCTGTCCCGTGAGCAGTCCTGATTATAAGTTATCCTGCAGTTGCTTTTCTTCCACTCCCCACAGCTGTGTAGTGCAAGACAATTGGCAAGACATAGAAGTCATTATGTTAACCATCATCTGTGTCCCTTCCATGTTACCACCAATAATTTCAGAGGTTTTCCTCTTCCTATCAAATCCACAGTGGTGGAAGAGCTTTGAAAACCCACCAGCAGACAAGAACATAAAGGGTGGATTCCATGTCTCTGTTAACTTTATACTGGTAATGTATTAATCACCCTGGAATATACAGCACTTTTACTTTCAAAATATGGATTGAACTTTTATGTCATCATACTCAGAGAATTTTTCTAACAAAGAATGAGATTGGGTTTAACAATTAGAAGAGGTATTTGTACAGATACGTCTATGATTAGTCACATTATAATATAATTATAAACAGAACTTGACCAGTTCCCTACAAGTTCTGAGAATTACGCAAAGGATTTACAAAGATATTTACAAAGATACACTGTCTTGCACCCATTAAAACCTTGAGAATTTGAGAATGAACCATCTGTTTTATCTTTGTACTTTGAGAACTTGGATGAGTGATTTGGTTGCTTTAAGTGGTTAGAGTTTATAAAATAAATTATGCCAATTGTACAATACTTTCCTTACAAATAAGATTAAAAACAAGCTTAGATAGATTTAGAAGATGAATAACTCTGCAGTTTAAAAATAAGAGCTAATTTTAAGGGTGGGTTTCAGAAACTATGTAAACTTTTTGTCTCTTTCATTTCTTCAATAACACTTATTAAACAAGAATTCAAAGTCAAGATAGAGAAAAAAAGTAATGTTGGTTTCTGGTTTTTGTTCTTTACCATGACAGGTAGAACTCAGGATACCCTGCCACACTGAAAATGCGTTCTTAGGTTTTTTTTTTTTTTTTTTTTTTTAATTTACATTTTTAAAATTGCTCTTTTTGAGCTGAATAATACTGAAAGATTCTACAGGAAGATGACAACTTTGGTGGGCTGCTTTATTATGATTAAAAATTTTAATGTTTTATTTTCACTAAATAGAAGAACATTCATTAATATTTTAAGATAAACAAGTTAAATATTGTCTTGGAACAATACCTCTACAGGCAATGTGTGAAATGGAGAAGCTGAAGGCTTGATATCAATCCACAAAACAGTGTAATCAAGAAATACACCAGGATGACAGCGAGGCTAAGAAGAGAACAAGCAGATTTAGATTGCGTTTCAGGTGCATGGTCAAGTGTAATAGACTCTGTTGAATATTAAAGGGCACAAAGAGAGTTAAAGATATTTATTTTAGTGGGAGAAAAGAACAGTTTGCCATTAATTTGCATTTTTATTTTGTGGTTTGTGTGTGGGCCTTTTGCTGAAATGATAGTCTTGATAGTGTATTTAACTTAAAAAGCAGCGATGAAGTGTCTTCTACCATACGTGAATAATGGAAATCATGTCTACAAAAATTTTTACTGATTACTTATAACATGATGCACATTTCAGTTAGAAATATATAGATTCTCAAGGTTTATTTAGGTGCTTTTAATATTGGGAAACTTAATGAACTTTTCTGAGTCTCAGTTTGTCTATAAATTGGAGTCATAATAGCATCCACTTACTGGATAATTGTATTAAGTGAGAGCATATATATAACACACTTAACTCATCGCTTAAAGCATACACAGAAAAGCTTAGTCTTTCCTTTATTTGCAAAAGACATTTTAGACAAATTTCTAATATCATTTTCCATTTTAGTATAGTGAAGTAAATCAATGATGATGAAGAATAAAAAAAAGCATTGTTATTCTTTAGGAGGAATTGTAACAAGAACATCTACATAGGACATGAGCACAGAGAAAGAGGAAAGCACTTAGAACAGAGAGAAACTACCAAACTGCATCCTTGAAGTAGTTACTCTTGTAGATGTAATGTATACTAGATACTGAATCTGGCTTAGTGCGAGAAACAAAATGGTCAAGACGATCTGTGCTATCAAACAGTATCAGACTACAGTGTCAGTATCGAACAGTGTCTGCTTTATAATCTTCTGACAAAATGCTTCAAACTCAGTTCTGCAAAACTCATAAATTTCCTTATCCAGTTGTAAATTTTAGCTCCTTTTTTTAGATTTGTGAGGATGTTTCCTAGTTTTGTTTTCCTTTTCAAATTGATATTTCTCCCAGTGCAAACTTTAGTAGCTTTAAAAGAACAAAATTTACAAAAAGCATGTATTGGAAACCCTGGGCCACTATGAAATATTAAATATATAATTATAATGTGTTATAGTTTGAAATATGAGTTGAGTTTTATGAAGTTAAAGAATATATAGGTATGTATATGGATGTATATATGCATACGTATATACTTAGAAACTTTATATTTATTCTTTCTTTAAAATTCTTATAGTACTTGAATCATTTTTTATGTCACCTACAAAGAAAACTGAGCAAAATTTTTCTGCTTTTCCCTTGCTAGTGTCCTTGTTTCAGAAACACAATAAAGATTTACAGTGTAAGAGACTGTATGTTAAACATCATGTCATGCATGTAGTGTTACTTTACGTGTTAGCAGGGAACAGGAGTTTCACGTGCAGGCTGCCTGTCCTCATATCTGTGTGAAGAGTACTTCTTTTGTAAATGTTGTCTAAAAACAAACATACAAGTATGGGATAGTTAAAAACTGATGTCATTCCTTGGAATTAAGTAGATGTAGGTTTTCTTGCTATCTTTAGAGTATTTCACTCTTTAAGGAGAATATAAATGTTTGCT